CCAGCAGTGATGCAAGAATCACATCTGAGTTCCTCTGAAACTCATTTCCAGAGTTCCAGAGTTATGGAACAAGTTGTGCATGCTCTAGCACTGCTACAGTGCTGAGTTCTGTGACATAAGACAGACAAGATGGCAAAACACAACCCTCTCTTTTGCCTGGCACTGCTCCTGGCAAGTCAGTATCTTCAAGGAGAGGGCTGCTAAAAAGGGCCACTCTCCAGATGAAGTACTGAGGACACACTGATTTATTTACATGTCTTTAAACAACTACACTGCAGAAAGAGTGCTTTATTAAGAATTTGTCATGAAGGTTCTCTCCACTGCAAGGTGGAACATTTAATCTGCTGAGTGAGTTCCAAAAATAGAAAAAACCCACTCATATGATTGTTTATTTCCATGCTTTGCAGCACATACTGTGCTACGTCAATGGAAGCTCGGTGCTAGGAAAGAATGTGGAGTATGCTCGAGAGGGCCAGCTTGGAGTCTTTCTGGCAAACTGGAAAGATGAGTTTGGTCACCAGGCTTCAGGGATTTTAAAACCCATGCTCAGCAGAACTAGTTCCTGGAAGCCACAGTCACACTCACCTGATCGACTTCATTTGCATAAGAGCGGCTGCCACATGGGGACAAGAGAGGGAAGGAAAATCTCTGCACGGGCCTGTTAAAAAAACACAAAACCAAGAACAGTCAGATGTGGAATATCTTATCCATACCCTGCTGCAGCAACATATACATGGAAAAGGAATGCAGTTCTGCCTACATACATGATATAGATTGTCACTTGGGAAGACAATCTAGTCTACACTTCTCCTTAGTCTGAGCCTGTGTATGACACATTTGTTTCTCCAAAGACCTCGATGCTATTTCCAGCTGCAGAAGCTGTCTGGGTACTACAAAGTATTCTAAAATAGCTCCTGGTCTGGAGGCACAGGGCTGTTTCCGTCCAGAAAACGGGCAGTGCAGTGTTTGCATTTTCAAATGCAACAACACCCTCACTTAAGATGTGCACAAAGTTGGGGTATGGGAAGTTATTAATTTGTCTGATAAAGGTATTCTACTGTGGCTTTGTCTCTGACATCCAGCCTGAGGCTGAATTTCCTTGGATTTGTCTCACTCCTTTTACACACAGCTCCATCCTTATTTCATTCTGGATTACACTTTTCCCCCTGCAGTGTCTACCCATTAAATACACTTAGATTTTACATCCCCTTTTTGCAACTGTTTAAGCTAGGAAACACTGTCTTTGAGCAATACCTGCCATGCAGATCTGAAGCTCCTCCGCATAGTATGTGTGACTCCCAGAAGAAAAAACATATTCACAAAGACAGACCAGAGCAAAGCAACAATGCCTTCCAGGAAATGAGATTCCATTTAGAAAAACTATGTTACCCAGTAGCATCACTCTGGCTTAAGTCTTGTCATCATTCATCAAAACTGAGCCTTAACACCAAATCAGAGTCACCCCAATCTCTGTCCTCGTCAGTCACCTCTCTGGACTTTATCAGCTTTTTCATTTTTGCTTTGGGCACTGACATTGCCCTGCAGGAGCTTTCATCCTTCCCTTGGACTTCCTGTACTTCATCTACCCTCTGGCTCCTCCAAAAACATGTATCCTTCCCAGAGCTGCTTTTCTAAGTTAATTTGCATAATCATTCACAATTATCTCCAGCTCAGACATCACAGGCTCTTCCAGGGTGACCTGTGCTACACTGTACAGCAGCTTGCAGATGCTCTGGCTCTGAGCCATATCTCAGGAAATCAAGGGATCTGTGAAGGCAGAAGCTTTGAACTAGATGGGAAAGGAGATGACACATTCAGGCAATAGTGTTCACTCACCTTCCTGAAACAGATTAGTTGTTTTTCTAACTTAGAGTGTCACAAGCCAAATCAGCTCTTGAAATAGCTATAGACAACTTAATTGCTGCAAAGGTCAGTGCCCAGGCAGTGTGTGTTAACATCACTGACCTGCAATCCTGGATTGAAACTCTTACCTCAACACTAAGATTCTTGGTGTGTCTTAAAGTGCCCAGAAATGTTCATAACATTTTTAGTTGAACGAACTTGGTTTTTATTTTTCAGTGTCATGTTTGGTCCTGTTATTGAGTGCAGAGCACTTAATTCACAATAATTTGTAGAGAATACCTACTTGACATTCTGTCTAGCTTTACCTGAAGACAATGGCAAAAGATGAACAGATGCTGGCTGCTGCTGAGCAGGAAAGTTGTCAGCAGGAACAGCCAGGAAGTGATGTGAGCCCCCACATGGTACACTAACGTACCATAAGCCATTTTTGTCATTCTGCATCATTAAATTCTAGAGACCACAACAGGGACTTTCAGAATGCACAGATGGCCCTCAAATTTAATTTGTCCTTGTAATTATGCATTGCCTTTCGTTCAGTTCCACCAAAAAAAGGAGTCCTCAGCTTGAAATTCAAGTATATAAACACTGCTTCAGTGCATTAAGACACTGGTATAGTGGCAGCACTGCCTTTCAATGAACAGCTGGATTTCCATTGAAGGTTTAGCAGCTTGTGGGGATTTGCAAATGCAACACAGTTTTGCCCTGAGTACAAGACACACAAAGCACAAATACACAGTAAGCAAAACAGAAGACGGAAGAAAAAGAAACAAGAATATACTGAAAATTCTTTCCTTAAGTCAACAAAACATTAATTTGTAGTTTTAAAACCACAGCAGATTCCTGTAGGTGAACTCTGGTGTATGTAGAGCAAATAAGAGATAAAAGACCTATGTCTGTTTGCACAGGAAATCTTTTAACAGCCTAGCTATCTCTAACACCCTGTTACCAGAGTCACCCTTGACTGTGATGATGTTGGACTTCACTATCAACAGCAGGAGAGCACCACTGGAGGTGGCAGCTCTTGTGCAACAGGCCATGAACCCCTTCTAAATGGCTTATGTACAATTAGTGGTACACACCCTGCTATTTGGGAACCCTGCTCTAAAACAAAGCCAGGCAAAGCACTCAAGTTCCTCTGAATTTGGACTAATAGGGTACCGATCATACAGCAATATTAATGTTGGAATTTTTTCAGAGCTAGGAAATTAGAATTAGATAGGCAATTCTCTGTTCATCTGCAGAAAAAAACAGCTTAATAACAGCCCACTTCCATTTCTCAGTAAAACCCTCCCTCTCAAATTTCTCATTTAATGGAATTTGCTGCCTCTTTAATCACAGGAAGTCACAGAAATGTATGACAGTTTCTTGCACTGAACCATGGCCTTGCTGCTATTAAAAAAAAACCTCTTGATGGATACTGAATTAATGCTTTTTTTAACTTTTTATCTGCAATGTAAAAAAAACCCAAAACCAGTAGGTTGCCAACCTCTCCTTGCATATAGACTCCATCTCTGCTGTGCTCAGCTCAATGACTGAGCCCTGGCATAGGTTGTCCAGGCAGGTTCTAGAGTACCCATTCTTGGAGATACTCAAAAGCCACCTGGACACAGCTCCAGGCAACCAGCTCAGAGGCCCTGCTTTAGCAAGGTGGTTGGACCACATGACCTTCAGAAGTCCTTTCCAACCTCAACCACCTTGTGACTGTAAATAAACTGTCCCACTGATATCAAGTGAGTCTTTGATGTGTGCTTTACTCAAGATGATACTCTTTCCTCTTTTCCACCAAGTTACTTACCTGAAGCCATTCCCCGGGTCCTTGAAATTCAGGGCTTTCACAGAGAAGTTCAAGAGAGGGCGGGACAGCTTGGTGGCCAACATGTTGTCAACTAGCACACTTCACCAAAAGCAAAACTATTCTTCCTTAGCTCTGCAACACAAGATAGCACCTCTGTTTTAGTTGCTCAATTATTTTGTAAGACATGCTGACTCCATGTATTTGAACAGGAAAATACAGTCCAAAGGAATTCATCTTCTCCCCTTGCAGTCCCTCACACAGAGATAAATAGCTCAACCTTCAGCCACCCAAGATGCTTTTAAATAAGGAAAAGCATTATAAGTAAACTAGCAAGCAGGGAGACATTCAAAGAAAATGTCAATTTCTCTTCTCTAATGCATCTTTAACTGGTTTCTCTGAAACAGGTAAAAATTAAGGTACTCACTTGGAATATTATTATTTCAAATGAGCTATATGAAATAACTTTAAACAAAAATATCATTTCAAGGCACAGGTGATGTTATGCTACATGTTTCCAAAACAATCCTGGACTTTATAGCTAGTACAGCCACGCAGTTAAAAATACATTTTTTGGTAATTAAGTAGCTGGTGATGCTGGACTAAGCACAAGGAACCACCAATAAACTCAATACTGAGTGAAAACATCTCAAAAACGAGACTTTGGTATGGGAAGTCAACTTCAATCATATTTATGTTGGAAAAAATTAACATAAGGCACAAAAAACATCTCCCAGTCCCTTTTACTGAAGCTGAGAAACGGTAAATAATGGTCAGGGGCGGTTTGCATCTCTGCCGAAGGCTGGGCCGCCACCGCGGCAGCTTCGGGGCCTGCTGGAAACCAGGCCTGGGCTGAAAAACGGTGAAATTACCGCAGAAAGAGCAGCGGTAGGCACCGAGATGGAGAGGGAGGGAGCGGACAGGGCTGAGGAGGCTCGCTGGCTCGGCTAATCCTCAGAAATCCCGGCGGTTTGATCCAATTCGGGAGTGCGGCTGGCGTCCCCGCGGGTTTTGGTGAGGTTTCCAGGGAGGGGGCGAGGCCGGCGATCCGCTGCAGGTCCCGCTGGCCCGGCCCGGCCCGGCCCCTCTCCGGGACGCGGCTGCCGCGGCCCCGGACGCGCTCACGGCCCGACCGAGGCACCGGGGGGCGCGGCCGCCCAGGCTCGTGGCGGCTGCGGGAGAGGCCGCGTGGAGATGCCCGCGCCCCCCAGGGCCAAAGTCGCCGTACGAGCCGGCTGCCAGAGCTCCACGGACCCACCCCGGCCCGGCCCGGCCCGCGGCCCCCGTGCGTTACCTGGAGCCGGCGGGTGCCGGGCGCTGCCGCCGTTTGAATGAGGCTGGGCCGGGGCCGCGGTGCCGGGCGCGGCGGGAGGCGGGCCGGGGGCAGGGCCGGAGCGGCGGCGGCGATAGGCTGCGGCCATGCGGAGCGCCGCGGGGCTGCTGCTGGCGCTGGGCGCCGCGGGGGTGCTGCTCCTCCATCTCCTCCTCCTCCTGCCTCGGCGCGCCCGCCGCGCCCTGCCCGTGAGTACCGCGGTGAGGGGCCGGGGCTCGCCCCGGGGCAGAGCCCGCCCGAGGCTCCCCCGACGCCTAAAATGGCGCCGGGCCGTGTGGCCGGGCCGGGCAGAGGCGCTGCGGGTGTCGAGGCCGGAGCGGCGCTGCCCGGGCCGGGCTGGAGGAGCCGGACAGGCGCTGTGAGGGGGCGAAGCGCCGAGCTGGGCACGGCCTGGGGCGATGAGGCCCCTGCGAGGCGCGGCCGGGCCGCTGCCCTCGGGCCCCGCGGTGTGGCGGCTGCTCCCCCCCAGCAGTGCTTCACTCGGAGGGGGAACATGTTCATGTAATCATAGAATGGCTTCTCTTGGATGGGACCTTAAAGATCATCCAGTTCCAACCCCTTCCCATGTACAGGGACACCTTCCACTAGACCAGGTTGCTCAGAGCCCTGTCCACCTTGGCCCTTGAATACCTCCTGGGATGGAGCATCCATCCCAGCTTCTCTGGGCAACCTGTGCCAGGGCCTCAGCATCCTCACAGTTAAGATTTTTTTCCTAACATCTTGTCTAAACCTACTCTCAATTTACTCTCAATCCCTTGTCCTGTCACTACATGCTCCTGTAAATGGTTTCTCTGCAGATAGTAGAAGGCCACAATTAGGTCACCCCAAAGCCTTTTCTTTTCCAGGCTGAACAATCTAAATTCTCTCAGCCTTGTCTTACAGGAGAGATGCTCCATCCCTTTGACCATCTTGGTGGCCTCCTCTGGATGCCCTCCAAACAGGTTAATGTTCTTCCTGTGCTGGGAGACTGAAGCTGAATGCAGCACTGCAGGTGGGGTCTCACCAGAGTGGAGAGAGAGAATCACCTCCTTTGACCTACTGTCTGTGATGCTTTGGATGCCCAGGATATGACTTGTTCTCTGAGCCAATGTTTTTGCTTCAGGACCTCCAGCTCAGTCCTTCCCCCCAGAATGGCCGGATAACAGCTGTAGTCTGATTGCAGCCTCCCACTTCACTCCTCCATCCACTCTGCTTCTCTTACTTTCCCTATCTCTGTTCCACTTGAGAAAATATCTTCCCTCTAGTGAATATTTTAATTTCTTCTTCCTGGGATTGAAAACCTCAACTTTCCCAACCCTGGAAAAAGGAACAAGCCAAGTTTACTTTGTAGCTGCACTTATCCTAAAATCAATCTGTTTGATAACATTAGGGAATGGTCAGGAGAGCCACAAATGTGAACGAGATAAAAAAAAAAAAAATCCCAAACAAGTGGCACATAAGAAAAAGATAAAGTCTAGGTAAGCATCGCATATTCCCACATTGTCTAGAGAGGCAGGCTATAAAAGTAGCTTCAATTTCTTCAGTCTCTTCTGCAGTAAATATATAATTCTGATAAATCACCTGCATTAGTAAAATAAATTATACTATTTAATAAACTGGCCATGTCCCAGTAGGAAATGCTGTGTACATTTGAGCTGACTGCAGGTTAAAATGAGGCTGCCTGAGCTGTGAGGAATGGTGTTGTGGATCACACAGCAAGCACAGACAGTGTTAGTGTGTTCACATGCCACAGCAGCACCTCTGGTACAAGGAGTTACTCTGTGCTCTTAGCAGATCCCAGGCACGCTGTCCCAGCACTGGAGTGCTGTCTCCCATGCAGTGTTTGCAGGGAGCACTGTATGACCCCGAGTGAAGGAGGCAACTCAAGTTCCTTAGAATGCTCATTAAAGTCACTCTGCTGATAACTGGTCCTCTCTGCCTGTCCCAGCATCCTGTCAAATTAAGCAGCAGATTGGCCTTATCAAACTTCTGGAACAGGCCCATTAAGCCTTAAATTAGGACTTTCAAAAGATAGGGGTGATTGGGCTTTTCTGTGTTCAGAAGTTTTCTGGCATAGGATCCCTATGGCTGGGGGTTGATCCCTGCTGTCATCCCTGGGAGTTCTGTCCATCAGGCATGGCACAAGCAGGCACAGGTACAGGTGTGAGATTCAGTAAATCCCTTGGGGTTTTGTATACTCCTTGGTGCTGCTGGGGCCTCTGTTATGTACCATGTAGTCACGTGTTTTATTACCAGCAATTAGGGTTATAGCAAATAACGATCACAAGATCCTTTCAGACTGTAAATTGTCCCTCACTTTCCTCGCTATTAGAGGCACAATAGAGGATTTTTAAACCTCATTTCTGTCTACATTTTAGTTGTGTGTTTGGGCATTTATTTTTAAGGAGCTAATGCTGGTTGAGGATTGAGTATCTTCTTTGTTTGCCTGACCTGTGTTCTGGAAGTGATTACAGTTGCCTATTTCCTGCACACTTCCTGCTCTTTTGGGAAGTCCTCTGCCTTCAAGATTCAGAGGCAAAGGCTCTAGGGAGCTGAGAGAAAGAGAAAAAAAAAGTTAAATCCTTTCTTTTTCCACAGGCTAGATTGCTGAGTTATTGCAGGAGGTGACCTTGACAACTTCTGTGATCTGGTTAATGTTTGATTTTCATCTCTCTTGGAGTTGTGTCACTCCAAATTAAATTCAGACTGAGCACTGTATATTTAATTCTCAGTCATCTTTTGTCCTTTAGTTGTAGCTATCTTTAGACCTTTAATAGAGCTAGTCTATACCTGGGTGCTCTTTGTCTGAGTATAGGTTATAGCATAATGGTAATGTGGGTGTTTGTATTATAAATGCAGGATAGACTTTTGATCAGTTTTTGTTTCAGCTTCAGATCTTAACTCTCCTTTGAGAGCAGTTACTTCAACATGAATTATAGGACAGGGTGTAGCTTTATTTGCTTATTGTTTTCTTCTGAGGCTCACCTGAGTTTGTCCAGTAATGGTCTGCTCACTATCACTCTGCTATCATTCTTTATTGCTGCTTCACTACACTACATGTCAGCAAAGCAAGAGATGAGAGAGCACTGGTGATTGACCCATTTCTCTCTGAAAACGTGGCTGGACCAGCCAGTGCAATTCATACATAAATATGTTCATATTCCAGCTGTTGTGCATACAGTAACAGGCAATATTAGCTGCTGGTATCTCCAGAGAGATCTAAGTGACCTCACTTCCTTATTGCATCCTCTGGATTTTTATTGCTGTATCACGTTATTGCCTCATAGATATAGTTTCAGTTTGGAGTGCTGTGCAGCACAGCAGCTGGAAGCCTTCTAGCTGAGTTAAGTGTTAGTTGATTGCTTCACACCTGTGGTGAGGAGATGACTTTCAAGCAAAGACAGAGGGTGAATGGGCAGTGTTTTGCTATAGCTTCTCTTCAGGATTTGGGATTCTGCTTTCATATCTGTCTCAAGCCTGTTGTGTCATACCAGATGGAATATCTAATCTTCTTTCCCAATTTACCTGTCAGTCAAATGATAATAATTATGTAGGAGAGAACTGTAGGATTTGATAAGTTGTTCTCCTTAAGACTGCAGAGTTTCAGAAGGAAGCTCTAACCTGTAGTCACATTCCTGTGTGCTAAAATACAGCCTGCAAAGTGCTGCATAGAGAGTGGGAGTAGGTGGGGAACAGACAGCAGCTAAAAGAGCTGCTGTACAGTTCAAGCCAGTGACATCCTGCCATTTGGATGTTCTCTATGCTGCTTTTTCTTACTATGAACTGGTAATCATTAACATCTTTTGAAATGTTTCTGTTTTGCTTTGGCCACTGATACTTGAAATAGTTACTGTTCCAGCTCAGGTATCAAGGCAACACAAATTGTTACAAACCAGCAACTGAATAAATTTATGATTTTGCAGTAGTTGGGAGGTGGTTGTGTTTGTGCACACAAGTGCCACTGTCACTTGCATGTGGAATTGTACCTGCCCTGGCTGCAGGACTGCAAGTGGCTCCTGTGCTGTGGGGCAGGGGGGTGGTGGTGCCTGCATTGCAACATCTGATGGTATCCTATGACTGTCTTTCCCCACACAGGCTGAAGGAAAGGCGGTGCTAATAACAGGCTGTGACAAAGGTTTTGGACACGCCTTGGCAAAATGCCTTCATGCAAAGGGATTTACTGTTTTTGCTGGATGCTTGCTCATGGTGAGTGGTGAATTTGATCAAAATTTTTCTGATTAGAGAAAATGCTTCTCCAATCAAAGCATCTTCATATGCAGCCTCCCTTTTCCGTGGTTCAAGACCTGAGAGAGGTGCAGTGGGCAGGGATTGTTATATCTTCCATAGTTTCATCTCCCTGTTATATCTTGTACCTCATTCCTTTAATTATGAGCTGTTTAGGGCAGGGCTCGTCTGTCAACTGCACATCTGTACAGTAGCTTGTACAGTGTGGCACTGTTCACTGCTGGAAGCCTCTCAGAAATACCACAACACCATAAATCTGATAGACCAAGATTGTTGTGGCACTGTGGCTTTCTGTCTTCCATAGCATCCCTGTTGCTGTCTTTCACAATGCCAGTTTTTGTGGATACCCTCCCCAAACTCATCTCCAAGATGCCTCTTCTGCATTATTAAGGTTCTGTTACCTAAATGTCTTGCAACTGTGCTTCTGCAGCTTCTGTACAAGCTGTTCAGTTTATGGATGGCTGAATAAACAAATTCATCATACATTTCTGACATCTTTAGGTCTCACTTTCTGTCATGTGTGTTTAGCAGGTGGCATCACTTGTAAGAGATAAGTTTAGACACACTCAATCTGAAGGGGTTGTAGACTCCTCATTCCAGTCCCTGCTCATGCAAAGGACTTACAACTTAGTGTTGTGAAACTCTTTTTATAAACTGAGCTGGCTCCACTTCTGTCTCAGCTGGGATTTTACCTTTACTATGCATTTTTGCTGTATTGCTAGTCAAAACTCTGACTAGCAATGTCAGGTAATTTCTGGCCTGAATTGTTCAAAATCAGTTAATGGTCACTCATTTCTTCATTTGAAGATGACCACATCAGCACAGGTGCTCAGGGCATGATGACTACAGATTTTTGAGTACTGTGGAAGGTGAGAACAAACAGGGGTGGCCTTCTCTGCCTTTGTGATCGTGGCAGACATTATGTTCTTCCACCACACCAGAAGGGAAAGCTATTATCAGCTGACATATTGTGTAACTTGAGAGTAAGAGAGTCCTGTTGGATTATTGCCACTGTTTGGAAATTTCCATAAGGAGCCTCTGTAATTCCTTCAGTAATCATGTCATTTGCTGCTTTGGGATGCCTGTCTCAGTGCTGATGGCAAGTCAGGCATTTTGCAGAGCAGCAGATGTAGGGAATGGAAAGCAAAGGGAAAATAGGGTGGCTGAGGGGGCTGTTTGGAAGGCACATGCTAGTGTGGAGCAGAGAGGAACAGGCTCTGTTGAAACCCCATGAGGAAATGAAATGCTCCTGAAGTGAGGCCTGTTTGCTTGCTTGCTTCATTGCTTGTGAGCTGCTGTAGGTTCCAGCAGGTCAGAGCAGGTATGGGGGCAGTTGTCATGAAGCAGATGCCAGGCTCTTAGTTCACACCTAGTCAGTCCATCACCACTTATATGCTTTTATACAGAGAATTAAAGGATCCCTGATGTACTACACCACCACTGACAGCTCTTGTATTAAATACAGCATAATAGACTGTGAGGTGCATCAGGAGTTTCTTTATGATCAGACAGTCAAATATAAAGTTACAGAAATAAAAAGAATATTGCATGCAGGCTGGGATAGAATTGGAAAGGATCAAATGGAAAAGGGATTATAATAAGCAAGGGCAAGTAAGTCCACTGAGAACGTTTCTGTTAATATATTAGGATTGAGATGGAAAAATCACACAGAAATAGATTATTAAATAACCTTAAAAGTAGAAACTACAGGAAAAGATTAAATAATAATTGTTTTATTTTCTTTGATCTTACTGAAAAAAAAATAAATTTGTGTATGCCTACTGCCAGCAGTTATCATGAGGACTGTAGGCAAGAAAAGATAAAGAACAAGGGATGTTTATATAAGTTAATGTGCTCAAGTTCATCAGGCCTGATGAAATATACTTAAGGGCATTTGGAGGATGAGCCATTGTGATTTCTGCCCCATGGGTGATATTTTCAAGAGCACCTGGAGGCCAGGGGATTCCCAGAACCCTGGATTCCCTTCCCAAGGGAGATTGACCTCTGGAATTGCCAGCCAGGCAGCTCACCTTCAGTGCACTCGATGCAATTGCCACACACTGCCCTGTCAGTATTACAGATGACTGCATCATAGTGTGATGCACCCTGCCTGTATAAGTTTACTGGGAACAAACTGTGCTGTGTCAATCTAATCTCATTTTGGCTAAGCAGCAGAGTGGCTAAAGTAGAAGGAATAAATGTATCCTGAGTAAGTGTTTTATCACAGTTTGTTACAGTCCCTCATGATAGTCCCATGAGCAAACTCATCCTCTAAGTGACTGCTGTTTTGTCCCAGTGGCAGTACCCCCCAGAAGAGAGTTTGCTCTCAAAAAAACCAAATATGTGCAGAACCATGCAGAGAACATTATAGGCCTTTTGGGGAACAGGGTTGCACATGATCCTGACAGGTCAGATGGAGTCTGAAATCAATTACGTGGAATCCTGCAGTGACAAGCAGGAGGTGTTCCGCTCAGGAAACGCAGGAAGGCAGCATGGGGATTGGCAGCAGGGTGGGAAGGAACTGGCGCACATGGAGCAAGACGGCTGCATCCATGGGAGTTCAGCATTGTTCATGGCTTCCTGCTTCCCCCTGACATCTCACTGCAGGTGCCTAAGTGCTTGCCAGGACCTACTCCTGAATCCCAGGAGCTTCCCTGGGAAAAAAAGCCATGGCTGTGTCTGTGTCTGGCTCTCCACTAATGAACATCTGTGTGATCTGCCTCTCCTCAGCACCACTGCACTGGGATCCTCCAAACCAGAACAGGAGAGAGGAGTAAAGAAGGGAAGGGGAGGCAGCCAAAAGCTGGAGCAAGTTTCCTCAGCTGGGTAGAGAGGCTTTGTGGAGCTGCTGGGCCTCTCAGCCAGGAGCAGCCCCTGCTAGGCACAGGGTGGGGTGGGCAGGCTGAGCCTGCAGGGCTGCGAAGGCAGGATAACCAGGGCATAGGAGATAGCTGGGAGGAAACCACACAGTCCTGTTGAAGGCCTGTGGAGAGAACTTGGGCAGCAGGCTGGGCTGGAGCATGATGGCTTTGAACTCTTATGGAACTGGGAAAGGGAAGCTGTGGAAGGGGAAGATTCTCTGAGAGGACAAAAATCAGACAGCAAAGGGAAGTGAGAGAGGCTTTGCAGAAGCAGTTGGGCCATTGCTGCCAGCACCTCATTTGATTTGTGCTGCTGTGTGGCTCCTGCTGGTGAAGATCGTGAAAATCATCCCTGCGAGGACAGTCCAGCTGCTCCCATGGGAACTGCTCAGATGTTATGCCAGCCAATAAATCTACCACGTAAAAAACAAGGAATAAGTACCCTTTGGTACCTAACAAGGAATGACTTAAAGCCCCTGAAGACCACACAACATAAGCCTATGTTCACTTGCTTCCATAAAAATCTGTAGCTGCTTCATTTGTGAAGAGGTGTTCTGGACAAAATAATTAAGCACTTTGTTTTACAGTTAAATAGTGGCTAAGGTGGTGTCTGCAGCTATGAAAAGTGGTCCCAATTGATATTGCATGTTGAAGTCAGTCTTCCGAAATCAACATGTTTTGTCAATCATGAGTAAATTGTAGCTGGGAAGGTAACTTTGCAGATAGAGTTGTATTGGTGATAGGGGAAAATTCATTTCCATATGAACAATACAAACAATTTTTACTGGATTTTTTAAGTTGCCAGTCTATTACTTTGTTTCTCAAAAAGCAAATATTGTTTATTTTATAAGTATTATGCAAGAATAGAGAAAAAATGCAGGGAAAGGTCTTTTCAGTGCTCAAATGTCAATTGGCACTTGCATGCAGATATAGTTATGGCTTTGTTTTATATAGATACAATAAATCTCCCTCTTTGCAACCTGAATTAGCTTCACTTTATTCACTGTTAAATAGTGGAAAATTGCTTTATAAAATTTGGTGAAATGCAGGAGCATCTTCCAGAAATACAGTGAGGCATCATACAACCCTCATCTGTTTCAAAGAGAGTATAATATTTCGGTGACCGTGTTGTTGACTACTTGTAATACCACTTTGATATTATTTTCATGGCTAGATAAGAGGGCCAACACTGCCCGTCACCACATTTGATGTGCATTAGAAAAGCGTCAAACTTTGTTTGCTGTTCCTGTTGTACTGGGAAAGAAGTCAATTGTGAAATGACATGCAGCCATGGGGCCAAGAACTCATTCCTACTATTGTCATAATGCCAGTGTAATTATATATTGATTTTTAAGAGAACTGCTCTGTTTTGCTCATGTTTGTGATGGACTTCAGCTCTTTTCCTTCATTATGTGTCATTGTTCACTGGAGTGAAGGTGGAGATGAGATGTTGTATGCTATATGAATTAAATAGTCTGAAATATTTATAAAAAAACTAAGCAGTTATGTGTTTTTTATATCTGCCTGGCTGCAGAGGCTGCTGAGCAGGTGACTGTGGGTGGGTTGTTCGCCTTGTTTGCCCTTGTGCTGTGGGAGTTGGTATCAAGTGATAAAGGAAGAATGGCAGCCAGGCATGGTGACTCACCAATTCATAACTTCTTCCTCCCTAGTGAGGCAGAGCTTGTGATTCAGGGAATAGTTTTGTGAATTAAATCTCAAGCCTACTGTAGAACTGTGTAGCTAATCTGTGCTTTTTTCACTTTTATTTGTTATTTGCTACCTGAGCAAGGCTCAAAGGCTTAGGCAGCAATCTTGTTTACATTTGACTAAACAAAAAAAAAAAAAAAAAACAAAACAAAAACAAAAAAAACCCACAAAAACAAACCACCTCAGTAGTAACAGAATCTCTAATGATAGCAGTGGGATCGAGAGAAAGAAAGGAAAAGGGTGGAAAGGAAAGCAGAGCCATGAAGTTCTTATTGCCTATAGAGTGCAAAAACAAAGAAACAAAAAATATTTCTTCTTAGCCAGAATCTGCTTTCATGCCTCATGTCTGTAATTGTGCTGCTGTGTAGCAGATCTTCACTGAGCAGGTATTCCTGTACATCTGACTCCAATTTCTGTACAAGTTATATTACCTGTAGAGCACAGAGACCGAGGAGTGGAGAGTCATACATGGTTCTCCCTGGCTGGCACAATATTTCAGCATGTTAGGGATGTGAAACCCATATGAGGAGCCAAGAGCAAGGTGGGCTTTGTGGTGCTTCAGGGCACTGGGTCACTGATGCAGTTCTGGAAGTGGTGCTGGAGGGAAAGGTACATGTTTGTGCACCAAGTTTACACCTGTGTGTGCAGTGTCAGTAGCTTCTATTTCCTGTCCTTGTGAATATGCCTGGCCCCAAGCTGCATTGCTGTTCTTGGTCCATCTTAGTGGGACACCCTTCTGTTCTGCTGAACAGGATGAAAATGGAGATGGAGCCAGGGAGCTGAGGAACATGAAGTCTGACCGGATGAAAGTGCTACAGATGGACGTGTGCAGTGACCAGGAGGTGGCTCAGGCCGTGGATTCTGTGAAGAGGACCCTGAAGGAGCCAGAAGAAGGTATGTAGAGATCTTTTGCTCACAGAGCAGGCCATGCATTGACCAGGTCTTTCGCTCTGTGCACCATCAAAAGAAGATTAACAAGCCTGAAGGCGTGTGACAATGTGTGGCTGGCAGTCAGGCCGTGTTGTACCCAGGTCAGTGAGGAGCCAGAGCTTGATCCCTTCCTTGCACTCCTGCCGCATGTGCTCTTAGCTCATGCAGATCTTGCAAGTGACCCTACTAATGAAGAGGTGATGGGCCCTGGCTGCTTACTGCTTCTGTCCCTTCTGCTGTATGTGTACAACTGAGTGCTGAGCTGGAGCACAGATTTGAACTGCCTCCAAACCTGGATTAGTCTTCAGTCAGATCAATCCATGTTTTCAGTTTGCCATGCAACATCCCAGAGGTGATGTGAAGTGGAATCCAGAGTAGGTTTGGCATAGTTGACCTTAATCCACATGTAACCTTAAGAATTAGTCCAACTCATAGATCCCAAAGCAAGTCAAGGGAAATAAGAGTCCCATCTTTCCTTCTTAGAAGTGTTTTGGCAGTGGAATGTGAGTTTACGGTCAGAGCCTGAAGTGACACCACCTGACCTCTTTTCATGTGATGAGGCGAGACTTCTTGCCCTGCATAGGCTTTTCTGCAGCCTCTGTGCCAGTAGCAAGCTGGCCAGCAGCTGTAGGCACAGATGGAGGGTGAACTGAAGTTTGACATCTGTGGCTTCAGGACTTCAGGGTTGTGACTTGAGGGTGGTTGGTCATCTTGAGGCTTGGATGAATCTGCCATGGCACTGGTTTTGTTCACAGCAAGTATGAAGCTAGTAAATAACAACAGCTCTAATCTTCACACAAATTACGTGAGCACACCTTTCCTTCTAAAACAAGCATATGAAATGTAACTGAGTAATGTACAAGCTCTGATCCCACACATGTTCTCTCTGCATGATTTTTCTTCCTACACAATCACCCAGCCCTCATCATGCTTTTCACAGCTTCTTAAGCTTTTCCTGAAGAGCCCAGCAACAGTGGTTGCAAAAAGCCTTTTCCCGCTGAGTGAAAGCTTGGAAGGGAGCAGCTCTGTTGCTTCTATAAATGCAGCAGTGTTTGCGAAACCGTGTGTGTTCAGGGACAGAGAAGTCTTGCATCCCTGATCAGCAAGTTGGACTGGTTCCTCCTGTAGCTGTTTGCCTCAGCACCGTGTGCAAAGCAACAAAGGCTTCTTTTTAGGCACATTGGTGTGACTGAGGTTTGAGGCTTCCCAATAAATAGTGCTCAATAAGTTGGCACTGGAACATAGAGACTATTGAGACTGAGGTGTCTTGCACAGAGGTGTGGTTGCACACTGAATGTGGCCCCAGAGGAGCTAGTGCAGAACAGGTTTTGGGCTGTACAGTTCTTTATACCTCTTCTCCCTATGCTGTGTACATAAGGCTGAACTCTTTTCATAGGAGTGCCCATTTGCTTTTGGTCTCATGCAGTTCCCACTGTATTGTTGATCCTGGAGATGTAATAGTGATACAGCTCTGCTCAATAAACACACTGCTGTCCAGAAAACAGCCCAGTGACTGGGCTCCCCTCAGCACTTCATTCTGTTTGTAACGTGCCCTGATCTGCAAGCAATGGAATTCCAACAACAAACTATGGCAAATAATGATTCAGGGATGTTCATGAGAACTAACATCACAACCCAGGAAATGGGAAATTGTTGTACAGAAATTTACAGGAATTTGTAAGTAATACTATGCAGAGGTCAGTTTGTGATTGACAGTTTATGTCTTTGATAAATCCCTGCCAAATTTTCTCAGCAGGTTGTTTGTTAGTGGTGAAATTACTCTGAAATTACAAAGGGACCCCATTCAGGCTGAGATGCTGTGCTGAATGCAGATCAGTGTGAATTTCAGTCATCTTGACTCACTAAAACTGGAGCTTCAGTAGGTGAGGCAGGAATAGGCTGCTGTACACAGCTGTTCAACAGCCTTCAGCGAGAACAACCTTAGCTGGGAATGGGGCAGGGTTACCAGAGCCCATGTGAGAGCCCAGAGTCAGTCTGCCAAGGGTATGTTGATGTTTTTAAGTGCAGCAGGAGGATAAATTCCATTGCACATTGGCAGAATATTGCAATTAGCTTATAGGACTATGTTTGGTAAAATACATGGTTACTATCTGACTGAATCAATTCAGGATGGAAGTTAAAAGACTTTCATGCATCAGAGTAGGGAAGCTATGGAGCAGAGGCAGGGCAAATAGCCCAAAAATTTCTGAGAGAGAGCTTGATAACTTTTATCAACAGGGTGGCATGACATTGGTACTTTTGATAGCAATATTGGAGCTCCCTGGACATGAAGACTCCTTCTTAGCCCTGTGTTAGTTCTTGGTAAAATGAAGGTCCTGGCGTGGAAAGGAGCCCCACCTTCAACTGAGTCTAATGCAGCCGCAGGAGTCCAGCCCTGACTCCAACACAGTGAAAAATAACCATGGTGTATGGCAGGACATCTAATGAGGAGCAACTCTGTTGTCTTGTTCCAGCTCCTCTGTTTGTTCCTTGTGCACTTTACAGCTGCAAAGTCCCATGCTTCAATAAACGCATGAAGGATGGATTCAGCCCTACTAACGTTTGCCACTGGGAGTCCTGCAGTAATCACTTTGAAGGGTCAAGTCCTTGCTGACCCACTAATTCCTAACATGTAAAGGGCTCATTACAGAAGCTCTTGGGAAGTGCAGTCAACTTAATTTTGACAGGGCTGCATGTGCAAAAGACATAAATTCTAGTAGTTGTTAGGGTTGGTTGTAAGTTTGCTAACTCCTGATAAAGTTAGGGTTGAGGGAAACCAAATACTTGGACTGTTAACCAGGCCATGAAGGTACAGATCAATACCATGCACACTCCAAAACAGTGAGCCAGAGTTGTGAAGGGGATTGAGAAATAAAAAATACCTGTTTTCTTTCCTTTTTTTTTTTTCCCTCCTAATTGCGGGAGAAAGTCTAGCCCCTTCCAAATTGCAAGATTCATTATAAAGTCGCTGAGTAGAGACAAATCTGTGATCAAGAGGAGGCTTAGAAGAGAGTCAGCCAGATGCAGCTTTATAAAGGCCTGGAAGAGCATTTGACTGTACAGATGGTCAAGAGGCAATACTTGTTAGGCCCCATGACTTTCCTTGATGATCCAAACAAGCCCCTGGTGTAGGAAGACCGTATTTCACCTCCTTGCTGGATTTTTCTCTACAGCTTATTTTGATGGAAGTCCCCAGTTTTTTATTAAGGTTTTAAGTTACTGTGAACAAGGAAAGTGTTTTCTCTGTGACAGTCTTCCTTGTCCCACTCTTTAATCATGTGTTTGTTGGCAGGTCTGTGGGGCCTAGTGAACAACGCTGGCATCTCAACCTTCGGAGAGGTGGAATTTGCAAGTTTAGACAACTACAAGAAGGTGGCAGAGGTCAACCTATGGGGCACTGTGAGGGTGACAAAAGCTTTCCTGCCCCTCATTCGCAGAGCTAAAGGTACATGCTGGGCAGTGTGGTAAGGCTCAGAGCTTTTGTAGCACAGCAAAGAGATGTAGCTAGAAATCCAGGCTGTACTTGAGGGAATGCCTGTGCAGTCCAAGGAGGGTTTCTGAGGATGCCATGTAAGCATTTGGTAGTACAGGCTATTCTTGGGGCAGGCCAGGCACCTACACAGCAGGTGCTATCTTAAACATCCAAGATATCAGAGATCTTTGTGCAGTGTTGGCAGATGTCAACAGACAAGATAATCCAGAGCCCACAGAGTGGTCATGTTTGGATAACTGAATCTTCTCCCTTCATGTCATTCCATTCACAGGTGACTTCAAGTAGTGACAGAATAAATAGGAGTCAATGACAGCCATTTCAGATATCTTACAAAAAAAATGGTATTATAAAACTCTTTGTTTTATATTGAAAAAAGATATGTATGAGCAGAACTCTTAAGAGCTTCTTTATTTAGCATGTGTGGGAATGATGGTACAGGTGTATGTTCTGTGAGGACAAAAGGGGGCTATATTGAGAAGATTGCTCAGATGCCATTCCCAGACAGCAATTAACCACTAAACAAGCTCTATCTCACTACAAAAAGCATCTTACTCATCAGGTCAGCAGGTGGATCTCACAGTCCCTCCAAGTTACACTTAGGTCTAGAATGAGACAGCAGAGCTGCCCACTTGTTTCTCAGCTGTAATTTTGAGCTGCAGAAGGATGTTATGCTCCATGGCTGTGAAAATCCTATCTACAAAAATAGCTGGTGCAATTTCAAGGTCTGGTTTGTAAGTGTATCTGAAACCACAGTGCACATGTCTTGTCTTGGATGAAGGCTGAGACATGCACAGAGGGCTTGTCTCACTGCTGTCACTGCCCTGAGGCAGTGGCCCGAGGGCTGTCAGGGGCTGTTGGCAGGAATTAGGACAATTGCTCTCCACTGCTCCATGAGCAGCAGCGCAGCAAGTCTCCTCTTGTTTGTCCCAGGAATGGCCACTGTAGAGACTTGTGGCTGACCAGCTGGGTGAAGGAGTTGTGCTGCTCATACTGCAGGTGCAAAGAAATCTCTACTCATCCTCTGCCATCCAGCTATCCAGCTCAGGTCTAAAAGTACACATGTGTATTAGGTAGATGAGCTGTCAAGCTTGCAGAAAGAACCAGAACACTTGTATAGTATCACACAGAATTGTGAGATTTCGGCTCATGACACTATAGGCTGGCAGCTTGAGCCCTTCTCTAGCAAGATACATGGATGAGGCACACTCCTGAGAACACACAGCTAGCAGTCTCAAAGATCATGGTACTTTCCCTGCTTGGAAATTAGGAGGGAAATATCTTGTGTGCTTTGTAAATTCGTTGATGCAGAGGTAGGCATATGCACCACCCCCTGGAGAACAGGGGTTGGCCTTGCTTGAGGCAGGAGAGAAAAGCTCTGTGATGCGATGAGTATTCAGGATTTGGATTTTAGAAATCAGCATCATCCAAATAAGTCCCCTTGTACTGGGGTGTTCGGCTGCTGTTTCTGCAGCTCATCCTCTCTCCCTGATCCTTTCTCTCTAGGCCGTGTGGTGAATATCACGAGCATGTTGGGACGCATGGTGAGTCCATCGCGCTCCTGCTACTGCGTGTCCAAGTTTGGGGTGGCAGCGTTCTCCGACTGCCTGAGGCAGGAGATGTACCGCTGGGGGGTCCGCGTCATCCTCATCGAGCCCAGCAACTTCGTGGCAGCCACCGGCATCCTGACGGCCGCCGGCATCGACAGGCAGGCCGAGGCTCTGTGGAGCGGGGCCACCGACACGGTGCGGGAGGACTATGGCAGCGAGTACTTCACTCGGCACGTGGCCACCATGAAGTCCTTCGTGAACAGTGGCCTGAAGGACATGTCTCTGGTCTTGAATGACATCACTGAAGCGCTCACGTCCCCATGCCCGAAGAACCGCTACAACCCCATGGAGACCTACTGGTGGGTGAGGCTGCAGGTGATGACCCACCTGCCCACAGCCATTGCCGACTGGCTTTACATCCCCGGAGCCACCCTGTAAACAAGCATCCTCCAGGCACCCCTCCAGGGCTCCTACTCACACACAGGCTGACCTCTGCACTCCTTGCTGCTGTCTCCCCTGGAGATGCATATGCTTCCACTTTGAGTTATGACTTCAAGTCCTGTGTTGTGGAATGCCAGAACAGCATGGTTTTTTGGTTCTTTTTTTTTCCCTCATTTTTGTTGTTTGTATTTCTTGGCTGTGCTGATTGAAGTTTAAAGGTGTTTTCCTTTTAACTATGGAGGAAGCAGAGGAAGGTAAATATAATAGGTCAAATATGTGGCTAGTGTAATTAGGTCAGCAGATAAATTTGGCTTATTAATGGGCTCTTGCTTTTTCTTGCAAGGACAAACTATTTGCTATTAGCAAATAGCAGAGCAAAGCTGTTGCTATGAGATGGCTTGAAGGGAGAAACTAAAATGGGAAACAAAAGTAGAGTTTTCCATTTGGTTGAAAATGGGTCAGTCACAGCCTTCCATTGTTTTCCTGGTACTGCCAAGAAGGTCTGCTGTGCTGTGACTGTCTGCTCTTTCCAGAGAAACAGCAACACTGCCTCTAAACAGCCTCATTACCTAGCTGCAAAAAAAGGTTCTTCCCCCCCAGCACTGTGGCCAGGAGGTGCCAGACTGTGCACATGATGGCCAGTGAAAAGCCCTGCTAATAGTGAGGTCTGAGCCATCTCTCAGCAGCCACTCTCCACCTGCTGCTGCTGAGTTTTGTGGGACAGGGTTTAAGCTGATGTAGCAAACAAATTTGGCTTCTCAGACTATTATCTTACGTGCCTGAACTACTCAACTGTGATACAGACATTGTCCAGCCATCCCCCTGTTTCCCTCTGGCTGGTGAGGGAGATGCTGTTAGCTTTTATAAATCATTTTTTCATTTATCCTCTGCATTTGGACAGTGATGGGGCACTGTGCAGCTAGTGTGGCCTATGAACTCTGGAAGGATGCTTTAAGGGACACATTTCCTATTTTTAATATTGCACAATGAAATCTCCATGTCACACAATCATCTTCTCAATCTACCTCTTGATAGCTGATATGATATATCTTGCCCAGTGTCCTGAGCTGGGACCTGAGCCTCTTACTCTTAGGGACCAGCTTTTCCTTCCATTCTTTTCCCTTATGTGAGATTAAGTGGCTGTGAAAAGAGCTTATTGATTGCTCTTTCTTCATCTGTGTCTTCTAACTCTGACTTGGAAACTGTGCCTTAAACTTTTTGTATGCCACTGTCTGCAAATTCTTGGAGTCTGCGTGCAGCCATGAATGCTGGGATGCCTTCAGGAGGAAAGCAGGTTTCCCTTGGAGATGCTGTCGAGGCAGCTTGTCTTACAAGTAACAACTGCTAGAAATACTGCTGTGCAGTTTGTGTCTCTTCCAGATCATCTGCACATGGCAATTTCCTGGGATTTGGGACCTGGAAGGATCCCTCCCACTGAACTGCAGCCTAAACAGTAATCACTTCTACCCTCTGCACTGTGAAATGTGATTAATCTTAAGTAGCTCTGATTTGCACAGAGAGAAAAATAAAACTCTAAGATTTTTAAAGCATATGTTTCTGGCTCCAGTGCTCATTTCTACATCTGTTTTCCCAACTCTTTTGAGTCTGAGGTTGGAATTTAATTATGTTCAGTAATTATGGAGGTGGTTTAATAATAACAATTAATGATGTTTCAGCAGGTAGTAGAACTGTGGAGTCTCAGTGAGAACTGCCTGGAGCAGAATGGGCAGCATGGCCCATTTCCTCAGCAGAAGGCAGTTAGAGAGGCCTCTCTGCAAACACAGGCACCGTCATTGTTTGTATTTTGTGTGGTTTCCCTCGAAGGAGATGGTTTAGAGCAGTGCTGTGCATTATTCATTGCCTCAGCACTCTTCGTGTAACTAATCCAAGGGCTCCAGCTGCCTGCTAATGAGGTTAGCTCCTCTCACAGACAGAACAGAGACTGGCAAGCCAAGAAGTGTCCCAGGCCATGCAAGGGCCTCATGGTTGAGCCAGGGTTAGAATTTCACAGCATGTGGGCCCCAGTCCCCTCTTTTGCCCCCTGAGAAGTGCTTAGGAGGGCTGTTAGTGCCTGATCTGGTTTCTGCATGGGAGGGGACCTTTGGGTATCTGGGGCAGAGAGGAGTACATGTTTCATGCCACAGAGTTACACTAATATGGCATTGAGGGCAGATTTTTGTTATGCTGGTAACAGAGGGAAGAAAACTAAATTCCAGATGACCTTCAAAGTCAAAGGACAAAAGAGAGAAGTTCAGTGAAATCTCATGGAAGTCCACCCTCATTGCTGCTGTGGTATCCTACAAGGAATTAAGCTGCCAAAGCTTGTCATGGCTTTTTTTTCAAGCATCAGCTGCTGAGGCTGTGGCACTTTCCTACCTTTTTCTGCATGTTTCTCACAATGCTTTGGAAGGCAGTGGTGGTCCAGCTCCTCAGTGCACCCCTTAGCCTTTGTGAAGTAATCCTGGTTTTCCCTTCAGATCAACAGGTTCTCTGTGATGGCACTAGGAACCAAGAGGTGGTCAGTCCTCTGCATGCCGTGTTTGCTGTGATTCACCTTAGCACAGCAAGGAGCCTCCCAGGGTTTCCCAAGCAATCACTGCAAGTTTAGATTATCCAAATCACTTCAGATTCTTTGTGTAATTCTTTGACCAAAACACAAGCCCTAAACCAGTGTCAAGTCCCAGTGCATGTTGCAGACCTCAAGGCATCTGTGGTTCCTGATTTAGCTCCAATATGAAACCTCCACTAGCAGCAATTGCAAAGAGTTTATTGTGGGTGAAGGGAATAAAGATTCTCTCTAAAAGCCAAGAGAAACCAAATGTCTCTTCTGAAGGCAAGAGCTGCAGAAGAAGTGGTTCAGGCAAGATGCAGCAAGTTCCTATGGAGATCCTTCACTGACAGTCCTGTGTTCACCTCTTCAAAGAGCTACACAGAGGATGGGAATCTAAACTTCTTCTTCTGGGCATCATAAGTCTTCACTACTGTCAAGGGTGGCCAATGACTTAGGTTTGCTGTTCTGATGTGGCTGCAGATCTCAAGCAGCCGTGGAGCTGTCCAGGAGGCTGCTGTACCAAGTGTGGTGCTCCTGGGAACTACTCTTGACATGCTGATGGGCAAGACCCAGCATTGGGACAAATATGTGGGCAGTGGGATGGGATTGCTCCTAGATAATGTTAATTATCATGGTATTTCTGTGTGCCACTTTCTTCCCAAGTAGTAGCACCTGTAGGTGCTGTCTGGTTACAGAGCACTAGTGAAAAACCACAGCACCAGGCATGCCAGAATGTTATCAAAGTGAGTGCTCTTCTTGAGCACAAGATTATGGATACTCCTGTTTCTGGACAGATGATGCCTATGACTGACTTGTGAATTGGCAAATTTCTGCTAGTTAACAGTTGGAATGAAGTTGATAAGTGTTAGGGGAAAGTTTAGAATTTGAGAAGCACTTCTTGCACATCTGGCTTTGAACTTGTAGCTGAGAAACTGCCCACTGCCAGAAATGTTCTTGGGAAAAGGAGGCCCGTGATGGCAGTGCTTTCACACACAGCAGTGCCCTGAAACCAGGACAGGAGATTATTCAGCACAGCTCTCCTCTGCCCCAGGTCAGGGCTGTGCTTCTGCTTCTGGTGGCCTCTCCCCTGCTCCAAAAAGTCTCCTTGTGGGGTCACTTTGTCTCCCAGGCAGACTGTTTCCTCCAGGGCAAAAAACATCAGGACTGTAAGTTGGACAAACATGTCAAGTGGAGTTTAGGAAGCTCTGCTAAAGCTCTTCACAACAGCCAAAAGAGGTGAGAAGGGCTGCTGAGATCCTGCCTTGCACAGGGAGGTGCTGGCTCAGCCCTCTGCCAGTGGCATGGGACTTTTGCAGGCTTTGGGCTTTCTGCAGCACCCAGCTCTGCAACACTGCCACCCAGCGCACCTGCACACGGGAGGCTTCTCAGCCTTCTGGAAACTTGAAGCCCTCACAAACCCAGGATGGGTTTATCTTCCTAGCTTAAAGTCCCCCCCTTAAACATGCTGATGCAGTGTAAATAGCAACACAGCACCTGTGCTTTTGGCTGGGGTTTTGAAACACAAGATTGCAGCTTCTTGTGTAACCACAATACTGGAAAATGTCTTAGAAACAAACCCAAACCAATACCAGCAGGTTTCTCAGCCAGCAGCCTGAGCCCTGGGGATTGGAGAGATGCTACAAATAGAGAATTTGTAACAGAGCCAGCTCTACCTCTGGCCTGGAGCCAGATACAGTTAATTCATTCTCAGCAGCATTGGAAGGTCCACAGGAATGTTACTGATACAGCCCTATCATTCTCTCCCCTGGTGCTCTTTGGGGCAACAGTAGACCTGTGTTTTCACCTCAAAATACTGATAAATAATACCTCAGCCCCAACAGCAGCTTATCAGAAGGCACAAAGTAGCTGTGTGTGCAGGTCTCCTGCAGCATCCAGTGCCTTCTCCTGTGGTGTCTTGAAGGGAAGAGTCTCCAGAGCCCTTGGCAGGTCGGCTGGCAGCATCATCCTGACGGTGCTGAAGGCAGCGCTTGGCTGAGCCAGGTTCAGTGCACTTCTCACACAAAGTGCATAGTAGAGTGAATATGCCATAATTCACTGCCTGCAGGGCAGCTTAATCTGGTTCCCTGAGGGTGCTTTGTCTCACAGCACTTTTTGCCAACAGAGCCGTGACAGAGGGGGTCTCTGCCCACCCCCTTGGTGTGGGTGTGCACTATTACTTTCCTCTGCTCTTACAGAGAAGCTGGTTGTTTTACCCCCATATGTATGGCCAGGGCAGCGTGGCACAAGGTTGTCCATCCCCCTGAGCACAGCCCCTGGTATGAAAACTCTTTCTTGTGCAGGACCTAGCAGATGATGGTGAGAAGGGCAGTGGAGTTTCCCAGTTGTTTCCAGCTCCAGCACACAGATGGAACAGATCTGGTCACCTGAGATCTTCCTTCACTGGGCTTCACTGGGCTGAATTATTTTTTGTGGTAGAATAATAAATGTAGTGACTCCAGTCTTCTGCGTGAAGGCTGCTACAAGTGGCTTTTAAAGTCCTTTGAATTGTTAGAGCTGCAGAAAGGAAGGTGCCAGGGCTGAGGGCAGGCATTAACACCATTGTGCTGCTCTTAAGCAAGCACCAAGGTTAACCATCACCCCACAGGCACCTTGCCCAGGGACCTTGAACAGCAACCTGGGGCGAAAACTCTGCACAGTCTATTACTGCACACCAGAGCAATTGTGATCCCAGGGGTGTGGGTGGTACCTATCACCTTGTGGGGTCAAGTGCTGTAGGAGAAATCATTTTCTTGGTCAGACTTTAACCAGGGTTACTATGACAGTCAGCAGGCTGTCCTGGTGTCTCCTTCCTGGTTTCTGCTCACTCAGAGGTGTTGAAGCATACAGAGTACAGCAAAGCACCTTCCTTTTCCAGCTCTAATGAGAGGCAACAATTGCTCCAGGAAGCATGACTAAGGAGGGAGCTGTTGGGAGAGGCAATGCACCCTGGTAAGGCCCCATGGCTCCATCACTTACTGCAGGGAAGGATGTGTCACTCCCTGTGTCCCACTGGAGACATCCAGTGGGTGTCTGGAGTATGGCTGCACAGCTTCCCTCCCTGTGGAAAGCTTGTGCAGGTACTTAGCCTGGCAGCCCTCCAAAGAAGAAATGAGGATCGAGTACTCCAATACAGCTGAGGTGCACTTTTGATAATGAGGAAGTGCCTGCAGAAAACCTGCCTGGGGACTCAGGAAAGGCTTCAAGGCAGCAGTGGCCATCTTTAAAGAGGGTGAAATAGTGTGGTGGCTTGGCTGTTGGCACAAGGTGGCTTTGAAGAGCTGCAGGACAGTCATCCAGTGGGTGCAGGGATCTGTCCATCCCAACAAGGAACTCCAGCACTGAGTTTTCTCAGGGCCAGCACTGGTGTGGGGATGGAGCCAGTGCTTTTGCTGGGAGCTGCTGCCACACCCTGTGCACACACAGGAAATACTTCTCTCCCCATCCTTCCCATATACTCTTGGCCCACACACTAAGTCACAACCTCATGCCCTCCCTGCATGGGTTCTTTTGCTGTACACCTTCATCAACAAACAAGTCCCCAAGACTCTGTAGCCCAACAGCACATCTGGATCTTCTTTTTACACCACTGCCACTTTTACAGCCCTGAAGCACACGTGAGCTGCCTGGTTCCCTCAGGCTTTGGGGACATGTGTACAGAGTGGCTGCTCCCTTCCTGCAGCACTAACAGGCACTAAGAGGAGCAGGAAACCCCCAGGTCCCTGTGGGCAGGGATGGCACTTGTCCCAGCCAGCCCAGCTCCTGCTTCAGGCAGCTTTCCCTCCTGCAGGCACAAGTCAGGATCTGGCTTCCAGCTCTGTCTCTGCATAGGCACTTAAAATCAGTCCCAGGCTGATCTATTGCATCCCAAGGAAGTTCCTACACTCCTGTATATCTGTCGTGGTGCAAGAAGTTTTTGTTCTAGTCCTTGGGTAACAGCCATTTCTCAAGAATAATTATGTCAGGGAATGCAAGGTGTGGCATGTGGATAATGCTTGCCTGTC